TTTTCAGAAATAAAATAATATCAATGATAGAAACCCAAAAACAATAATAATGATACTTTGGGCCGCAGTAATCTTTAGTTTAATAAATAAGCCCATTAGATTTGTAGGCTATCCTTGTTTCCAATCATTATAATTTTAAATACCTATTCATGTTTCCAAACACTAATTTTTTGTACTTCAGCTTTAATAGTATAGATGTAAATGTTGAAAATATAAACTTCGAGAAAGGAGTGTGCCATGGGAATAAAGTCATTAAGGTGATATTGTGATTAAGGGTTATTGCACTACAAGAAAACTTGTCCTTAATTAGGATCACTTTGCCTCGTAATTTCTTAGTAAATGATCATTTACTAGGAATTTACGAAAAAACACGTTTCCTCGAAACACGTTCACCGTAAAACATTTTTCCTCGTAATTTCCTAGCTAATTTACGAGGAAAATTTTCCTCGTAAACGTATGGATACGTTTTTTCTCGTAAAGTCCTCGTACATGTTTTCCGTAAAGTCATAGTAACACATTTCCTCGTAAACTCGTAGTAATGCTTTACGAGGAACTTACTAATAAAGTTTACGAGGACTTTACTTCGAAAATATTACGAGAATTTTACTTCGAAATATTTTTTTCTCTGATAAAAAATATTAAATATAAATATAAATAATATATTTTTAAAAAATTAGAAAAACCAAATTATAAAAAAATGAAATAATAAAATATTTTATAAATAACTAATAATATACAATTAACTTTTAAAATTCATAATATACAATTAAAATAAAAAAACTACGGATGGTGGTCGTTAAATTACCGAACGAAGTCGTCCCAGCTCGCCAACTCCTCTTCGTCACGGTTGGTAGTCGGCTGTGACTGTGACGGTAGATGTTGTTGGGTTGCAAGCCCTCCGTTTTCCCGTCTCACACGCAACATCTCCGCCAATTGCAGGTTTCGAACCGCCAAAACGTCCAGGACATCGGTGAGAGAACTCACATGAGACTGCGTCGCCTGCAACTCCGAGCGCAGCTGAGCAGTGACATCGTGTTGTTCCTGAGCATAAGACGATGTCGTTGTGGGGACATCGTTAACGGAGCCAATCCCGACGATACGTCTCTTTTTCATAGGAGCGACCTCTAAATAAAAAGATTAATAATGTTAAAAAAAAATTAAATAAATAATAAAAATTAATAGAAAAACAAATTATTTACCTCCTCGTAAATTTTATCCACTTCAAGAGTGGATAATATGACTGGTGTCCCAGACTGCTGAGTCAGATGGGTCTAGCGTTCGTCAACCCCAGCAACAACCTCGTTGTAGATCCGCTCGGATCTAGGATCTACAAAATGTCATGCCTTGTTCCGGTGGGTCCTCTCGTAAAGCTCTTTCAGAGATGGAAGAACTCATGTTTCTTTAGCCTAAAAATAATTTTTAAAATGAAATATTAATTAGGAATATACAAATAGAGTAAAAATTAAATAGTTATTAAAAATTAATTTACCATGTCTACACGAATTCACCCGTGAGGTTTTCGACCTCCGGTGTGAAGCATCTTCGTGTTTCCATGCTCGTCTCTTGTCATGCGGTTCTCGGAGTTTGTGTGGGAGGTTCTGACCGAGTCCGGCAACCGCCAATATCTGATGAGGCCATCCCACACGTCGAATGTGAGGCAATCTGGTTTTCCCTCCTCGTAACCATCCACTGAACAAAACATAATTTTAAAATGATTTGAATTAAAGTCAATGATATAAAACTATATATATAATTTATAAATCCACACCTGAAAGTCGTTCTTCCAATTGTAGACCATGTCGAGCAATCGTGCTTTTGCCTTCGCCTCAAACTCCGTCTTCACCCGCTGGTGAATCCCTATCGACCAACGATACTTTTTCTGAAACCAGAAAAAAATAGAGTAATTAGTTCAAAAATATTAATAATTTTAAATAATTAAAAATAAATCAAGTTGATTAATTAATGACTTACAGTGAAAGATTTGAACCACATATTTTTTGTGTGGCTGGGCATCTTTTTCTAGTTTGGAGTTGGATCGGGAAAGTATCCTTTGATACAATTCGTGACGCTCTGAGCGACACATCCGTCAAGACCAAACCTGGAAAGAAACAAAATAAAAACATTAATTAGATTAATTTGTAAATTTTTGGTTAGCTAAAAAATAAATTAAAAATGCTTTTTAAAAATTAAAACATACCATAATATATTGTGGTCGTCCAGTC